GGTGGTAGGGGTGGGGGAGTGGGTCGGCGGGGATACTGAGAGGTTGATTCAACAGGAGGCATTAAGCTCTGTTTTGTGACTCGGCGTAGTAGTTGGTGCTTGGGGCGGTGCTTGTTTTTTGTACCGGAGTGAGGTCTACTCGAGCATGTTTTCTTCCATGTTCAAGCCTGGTGGCGAGAGGGGTATTATTAATAGCACACGACACCACTGGCGTTTTTGACAAGATACTGGGACGTTTGAGTGTTGCATTTTTTTTTTCTTTTTCGCTGTTCCCCATCGTGCGGGGACTTTGCACTGTATTGTAGACTTGCCCTTAATTTTTTGTCGGTTTGATGTGTTTTGTGGTGTCCAATCAGTTATTCTGCGTTGTGGCTATGTTGAAAGTAGTTGATAAGGTCACCAAGCAAAAAGCGTTCTGTGTGCGACCAATCGAAAAACAACAACGGCAGTATTATGCATCCACGCGAGACGTTGTCGTCCAGGTGGTCGTCATTCTGAGATGATGCGTGTTAGAGCACAGCTCGAAAACTTGAAAGTGGCTCGAACACAAGGTGACGTGAACAGCGTATATATTTCAACACCAATCCCTTGCGTCTTTCTTTCGGCCGTTCTAGTCCGTTCCGTTGTTTTTTCAGCTTTTCCTGTCGATAATGGCACTTGAAGCCTATCAGCGAAACTTATTACCTCTAATCACAGTCATTCGTTTTGCGACCCCACCCTTCCATTCCAACCAACTGCTGTTATGGAACTCTTGCATATATATAATATATGCATGCATGCGTATGTATGAATCTCACGTCGGAGCCCTCTATTCCACCCCACCCCAGCACACCCCAGCACACAACAAGATCCAAGCCTGAATGGTTCAGCTTTTGTTATTGAAGACTCGCCGTCACCCCCCCGCATACGTTAACATCTGGCCGTCCATGTGGAAGTCGTACACGCACATACCGTCGACGTTCGAAAAAAGGAAAAAATCGGCTCTGTTGACCAGGAAAAGCAAAAAAAAATCTTGGCTTCGACAAAAAGTAGGTAGGTCCTTCGCTCTGGAAACAAACCCAACCAAACAGACAAGAAGGGCTACACTTGCTCTTACCCTCAACCAATCAGAGCTCGCTTTTGATTTCGAAATTGTTCGTTCTCGACCTTTCACACTGTGAGCGCGCGTATTTTGGCAAGATGTGATTGTCCATTCACCTCCACATGAGGGGATCATCGGCAGCAGCAGCAGGTAGCCACAATCGGCATCAATCATCATCGTCACGATCCGTTCTTTTTTTCCACAACACTTGCCTCATTAGTTAGAGTTGATCGAGCGATTACAGAAGAAGGAAAGTGTGAGGAACGCCCCTGCATGACGTGTATAAGAGGGTCCGACCTTGTCACCCACTCGCGCCTGCTTCAAGCAAAAACAAAATGAGAACGCACGGTTTGCAAACGTACGCGGCGAACAGTCGTTGATGGTTATCGCTATTGGTAACATTCATAAGATAAACATTTTTCCAGAAATACATCAAATCGACCGAATGGCCGAGTGGTCTAAGGCGCTAGGTTTAGGCCCTAGTTCGAAAGAGCGTGGGTTCAAATCCCACTTCGGTCATGATGATTTCTTTTTCGTTTGTTACCTATTAGTAAAAGTTGCGGACCTCGGCTCCCTTTTTTCTATAGAAGTACAATACTTCTTTACGATGACAACAGGAGGTGACAACCTGCCCCAGCCCCGGAGGTGTGTGTATGGAAGACTTCACGAGACAGTGAGGTAGACACAAACACCCGCCCCTCCACAGCATCATGTTTCTAAGAAAAGAAAAATAAATATAGAAAATAAAAATAATGTAACCCCGACTCGTCGGTCATCAGCACAACAATCAAATAAATGAAAGACTTTCGAAAATAAAAAAGAGCTGACAAGCGCTTGCTTGGTTATGCGGACAACAAAGTCCTTGTGCACACCACGCACACGCATCGCTTCCTTCCTACATTGCAGGCAGGCGTAATTTGACGAAATCGACAAAAAAACATTGGTCCGCACAATAATACATGTAAATGGGAAAAAGATGATCAAGGTGAGATTCGAACTCACGCTCTTTCGAACTAGTGCCTTAAACTAGCGCCTTAGACCGCTCGGCCACTTGACCAGTCGTGCTGCGTGAACACGTGGGAACGTCGGTAATCGTTTGCTATGTCAATATGTATCTTTTATGTGCTGGGGTTTGGTCCGAGGAACAACCCAAGGTGTTGTTGTCTGCAACGTTGGCCATGAACACCGTAGCGTACGTATCACTCACAGCTGTGCTTGCATGACATTGTGCCTGTCGGCAGCATGTAACATGTCTCTGTCTGTGACGACGGCGGACTACATCATGTTTATTTAGGATACTACGGCAGCGGCAACGAAGCTATACTCCTGTACGTATAAGTAGTAGACTAGACGTATTGTTGTACATCACAGCAGCAGCACGTTGGTATACAGCAGCAGCAGGTTGGTTGATGATATTCGCACAGATAGGGGTATCGTGGAGCACCCAAGGACAAAAAAAACAGACACACGCTTACAGCCGCCCCCAGGTCCTACACTTTCTACATGGCAAGCCCTCGTCGTGCATCCCGGAATCAAATGACACGCTGATCGGGCGGCAGGGGGTGCGTTACAAAAACGTCGAGATCGCGTTGCTCCAGTTGATGACGGGTAAGATCTCTCCTCTAACTTGCAACACGAAAAACTACAGCAGTAGACATACGTATCTACTGCTGTATGTACATTGTAGCTCCACTTTTTTTTTTCACTTTCTTGCAGAGAACGTTCACAGCATCCTCCTCTGATCCATACTACTGCTGTGACTGCTTTATTCATTTAAGTCGTCGGCTCTCAATGTATTGTGATGGTCGGTGGACGACGTCGTAGTCAGTTTTTCGTTTTTCACCATCATCATTTTCGGTATGCATGCACAGAACAGGTCTCCTTGAGTAAACCCACACGCACAACAGCAGAGTGCGTGTGTTTGGGAGAAAGAATCAGACTAGGCCCACCCTTTATTTACTTGTTGTTCTTGATGGCACTCGCCGGTTGGAATTTGGTGGCATGGATTTCTTCCCGTACCGTAAGAGGCGCAGAGATCGCACCACCCCTTGACTGGTTTTCCAAGTTCGATTTCTCCACAACCAAGCTTGCTTGTGCCAACACCCACAATGGCGGTTCTGGAAACAGCTCGTCGAGAGCTTTCCGTAGACGTATCGGGCTTTTTCCGCACCCCCTTGGTCGTGGAGCAATCGAGCCTTGAAAGTCTCGGTCTTAGGGGGGGGGCATCTCTTCGCCCCTTGCGGCATTTAATCAACTACACTCGTTGGCTGTTGGATCATTTCGGCTTTCGTTAAAAGTTTGGGCAATTCATCAACAAACGACCATCAACATTTGTCCTGCCCTGTGGATGACGAGCTTCTCCAAAACGAGGGCGCACGTGCGCTGATGAAAATGGCAATAAATGCGCCAAACCAGGCAGTGGTTGAGAGCGAAACTCCACACACCTACTGCTGTAGCTATGGTATCTCGTATCGTTGATTTGCAGGGTCCAAAGTTTCGTAACATCGCGAAAAAACGAGTGCTTCGCTAGAATCATACGCCGCTACACAGAGCGTTCCTTTACTCATGAAAAAGAAAGAAGAAAACATGAAAACACCTAATACAGACAGAAGAAATCTTTCTACTTCGTATGATACAGTACACTTCACGCAAAATAGGTCGTCTGCCTTGTCGAAACCCAACGAATCACCCATCAACCCAAAAACACCCTATCTCCACCTCGGGTGCCGATCTTACCTAACGGCATGCTACGCATACACGAAGCAGGACTTGCGCCAGAACCCTCCCGTCTCCAACGAGAGCTCGGCACATCCGGACCTGCTCGCATCTACCTGCCGTTGCTCAGCGTTCGCTACGGTGTGGACGACCAACACCAGGAACACAACACTTGACTTCAAACACACACACGCCGGGCAGACGATGATTGCAGCAAATGACGGCCACGAAAAGCGTAGCGCCATACATACCCAGAACGGATCAACAGGAAGAGCCAAAACCCAAATAGCTACGAGCCCCATCATCCCCTCGAAGGAGGGACAAAAACAATACGACAGCAGTGACAAAACTAAACGAACATTGCTCTCATCACACACCCCAAAAGAAGGGCGCTTGTTGCGGCCGCAAGCCACTGCGGTTTGGCGTGGCTAAACACGTTAGTTTCTGCGTACCCACGGGGGAAAACAGCTCTTCGCTATAGGCATACAGCAGCTAAGGGCCCTCCAGGCGCATCGACCGGCACCATGCAGAGGGACCGGCGCTATTCAACGTACAGAATGACTTTTCGATGATTCAGTCTGGTCCCAGCAATTTCACGGACGCTATACAAGGGCCATTGGCGCTAATCAGCCGGCGTTATTGACATCACCCCGCTGCACCCGCAACAATGCTCGATCGCTGTCGCATGCTACGCGGCAGCGCAGCTTACTCCGCCGCTCGCTCCGCGCCAAGTCCTACAAACATCACAGACGTGCCTAGGCGGCAATCTACGAGTCGGCAGAGCAAAAAATCTCCCACCACACAAGGCACACACCAAAGGCACACGCCCACGACCGGGAGGAAGGGGCATCAAAAACGAGTCTCAACGACTGCTGCTGTGCTACCAACTGCATGCATGCGCTGCTGAACCGAAATATGCTGGTCCACCAACAACGTTTGAACTCAACGCGTTTCACCAGGTTCCAAGCCAAACGTTTGGCGCAGACAGGTGGCGCGCCCCGGGACGTGCCTTCTACTACATAGTAGGCGCGCTAAAAAAACGCCAACTACAAGTAGGACTCTTACAAAAAGCGCGCAAACTATCCCCGCCGTGCGTCCTCTTCCACTTCCGGTGGGCACTACCAACACAAACAAGCTTTGGGGCAACCTAACCATCAAACGTGCGACACGCTTCCTAACAGAAACAAACCTATGCATAACAGAAACTTGTCGAAGAACGAATCGTACATGATATGCAACACAAAAAGAGATAGGTAGCAAGGGGGGTGGGCCCTTCTCGATCAAAGTCTGACGTCTCCACCCAACACGCTTACGTCACTCCACTCAAAAAGGGTTCTTGGCAGAAGACAGAACTCAGCGGCACCGGCGCTGATCAGTGGGAAGCACGCGGCCAGGAAAAGCGAGGCACAAGGTTCTCTGAGTAGTCCAAAAAATATTGCGGCGCAATTTGTTTTCGGAGGTGACCGAAGATCCTTTCTCAGCTGCGAGCGCCTAAGGTCTCTCTCTCTCTGAATGTCATTCTCCAGAGAGAGAAGCTGCTCCAAGCGTAACCAATTACTCCGATTCGTCCGGTGGTTCTAGGACCGCCGCAGGGCTAGAGGTGGACTCCCTCCGATTGCCACCGTCGCCGTCGCTGCCGCTGATGTGGCCTCCGGCCCCAGCCGTGCCATTGCCGCTTAGCAAGCTGCTCAGGACATCTCTAAGTGATATCCTCTTGCTCTGCTGCTCCTTGCCGCTAGCCCCTGCGGTGTCACCACTTCCAGCGTCCATGTCGCCCACGCTTGCGCCCGCCGCCGCTGCTGCCGCCCGAGCTACTGCGGTCGCATCATCTCCAGTAGCACCATCCACGTCGCCCACGCTTGCTGCCGCCGGCTGCTCCTCGCCGTCGCCGCTTTCCCTTGCGGTGTCACCAGTAGCACCATCAACGTCGCCCACGCTTGCCGCCGCCGTCGCCGCCGCCACTGCCGCCGCAGGAGCTATTGCGTTGGCATCATCCCCGCCGTCCTCGGCGCTTGCCGCGGCCGCCGCGGCCGCCGGAGCTATTGCGGTTGCATCATCTCCGCCGTCCTCCTGTACTACGGCAAGCCCTCCAACTTCCCCGTCCTCCTCGTCGAAGCTGCTGTCGGCCATGCTGAAGCTACGGCTGCTGCCGGCGCTGTTGTCGTGTCCGGAGACTCTACCGGAGGCGGCGACATGCTCTCCCCGCGCGCCGGCGTTGGTGTCCGCAACAATTGCGGCCTTGTGGGCCTTCAGCGCCCTGAGGTGTGCCTGGAAGCTGTCGTCGATGGGGGGAAGCTTCGACGCCGGCTGCATGCTTCTGCGCCGCGTGTGCGACGGCCTGGGCGGTGGTGTGGCCGGGCCGGGTGGGGTGAAACACGGGAGTCAGACGGTAAACGCGCACGCGTGAGCTGCAACGAGAAAATGCGCTTGCCGAGACGGTTCTGGCGTGTTTCACAGCGGTAGTCCAGCCTGCGTGTGATGTTGGTGCTCTAATGGACAGCGCGTGCTTTGCGAAACAACCGAAAGCAAGCGTGACAACAGACAAAATGTAATACCTTATTAACCACCGTTAAAAGGTGTTCCTCACTTCAGGTGTTCAACAACAGCCTCTTCGTATGACCCTGGTGCGAACGCTCAGAAATTAAGACCTATTCGGAGTGAAAACGACTATTGAGCAAGCCGGTTTCTGGATTGAGGAGTTTGTACGCACTGCTGCCGACGACGAGAAAAGGTTGCCGCCGACCGCATCGATCCCCGTCGTATCCGTGTACCCTGTTGAGAGACGCTACCGCATTTTGCATTTTGTAATTTATCAAACACGCATGCATGCATGTTTAGTTGGTTGTAGTACTAATGGGCTGAAAAGTCTCGTTCCGTTTGCCATGCCGTGAGGCACACGCACTCACTCATAATTTCCAAGTTACATGACCCAGACTGATCGTTGTCTGTGGGTGTATCTCGCGCCGAACGACATTACCAACACCACGACAACGGCCGCTGCCAACGGACCCCCCCTAGAAAAACAAAACAAAACATGCCTGATGAAGCAAGGTACCATCGTTGCATTGTCAATTGTCGATAGGTGTGACGCTGAGAAATGGGGGGCGGGTTAACGACGCGTGGCTTGTCGTGGCTGAAAATCTCCCTCTGCCCTCGCCACAACAACACCAACAACAACAATAATAACTCCGACACTCACCACCTCCACCACAACGTCAACACCCAAAACAACAACAACAGCAACAGCAACAGCAACAGCAACAAGCCAGGATACAACGACGCTCACCGATTCCGCATGATCATCTCGATCTGCCTGTGTGAGGCCGCCTCGTCGTGGCTGAACGCGAACCCGGCCTTCGCCCCCGCGGTGCCGCCGCGGCCGCTGCCGCCGCCCCCGCCGCCGCCGCCCTCCCGCCCCATGAGACTCAGGTCGCCGGAGGAGCGGTACCTAACGACAACGCCCTCGCCACGACCGCCTCCGCCGGGCAGGGCGCTGCTCTCCGAAAACGCATTCATCATGCCGGGGAGAATGGGGGATGATCCGGCGCTACGGCCTCGTCGGTTGGACCCGGTGGTGGACAGCTGGCGTAGGAGGGGGACGGCGGCGGCGGTGGCGGGGAACAAAAAACCAGGCACGAATTGAGAAGTGGTTGTTCATTTCGGAGGCAGATGTGCACACACCGTTAGCGGTATCGTGCTCTTTGTTTCGGTGAGACTTGCAAGGGCTGTACCGGTTCCGCGGAAGGAAACGTGTGGCAAAAGAGAAAAAAAATCCTCATGCATGGTGCACCCAAAGGTGAAAGAAAAGACTGGTGCCAGAATTGACGGGACGAGCACACATGCCGTGCAATCTTCTGTGGTACGACCACTAATCAGGAGTACCTGCATCAAACCGCCGAACACGCTTTCCAAACAGAGCGAGGTCAACCCTAGCCATTCGGATGCAAACCAGCCACAATAATAAAAAAACAACGCATGTAAAGGTCGTGGTCCCGGTTTAGCGGTTCCCTGTTTGGCGGGATGCCCTGAATAGCGGTCCGGAAGTCTCGTGGCACAGCAGCTGCACCTCGGTAGTGAAACTATTGTACAATGTAACTGCCAATCAATCCGGTTTAGCGGTGATGCCCTCGATAGCGGTTATAACATTTTGTGACGCTATGGCCCGCTAAACCGGGACCAAGACTGCGACAAAAGGCAAAAGGCCTGAAACACCCGGGGATACATACGCACACATACACCCGCCGTATTAACCATCATGATTATCCCATCTGCGCCAGCCAATTTCACACGCACTACTCTTTACCGGGCACCCGCACAATAGAGGGCACCCCACTGGTGTAAGCGTACCGCCATGGCGCCTGTGCGGGCAACCGTGCTGCTCTAAAAGTTATTTTTTCTGTTGTCTCCAACCAACACATCCACACACCTGCGTCGACATCGGAGACCTGCTCAGGCCTTCGAGCATGGACGAGATGGACGTCAGCCTCCCACCCGCGCTCCTTGGCCTACCCCCCTCGTTAACCACGGCGTCCAGAGACCCCCTCGCCCGGGCAGAAGCATCGGGGGCCATATCTGGCGAGGCGGCCTGTTGCCAAAAAAACAAGAAAAAAAAAAAGAGGACGTTGGGTCTTGTTCGGCAGATTTCACGCTGTACACCACCCGCTCGCACGGCAAAAGACAAGAACAGAGACGATACGAAGACGCATATCACGAAAGAACCTGCGAGTTACGAAACTCAGGCTAAATAATTATATAAATATTGGAACGTTAGATCGCGCACTCCCGTGGCTCCTCCAAGACGCCAGGTACAGGATGAAGAAATGCAACGCGTCGGTCGAGTGAGTCAAGTGCCAAACCAACCACTTGACCAAGAATGGTGAAAAAAACGCAAGAAACCTCGCTCCGTGTCTGGACGGTAGTAACGCTATTCATCTTTGCGTACATGCGTGCATGTGTACCTGGTAGTTCCTGCCGGCCCCCGATCCAGAAGCCCCGAGCGCCTGAATCACGGCGTCCCGATGATCCTCCATGCGCTGGATGGACTGAGTCCGCATCTTGGACACCCGCGTGCTTGTGTCCTCCTGGCAAATTGTCGGGTCCCAAGGTGCGCAAATTGGTCCCGACGTATGCGCGGTGCAAGACATGCGACTACAGCGATAACGCAAGACGTGACGCATTCTTAACCTTGGCAAGAAAACCCACGACAGGAATTGTGACTTACACCTGCACGCTATTTTTCCTTTACATCCCTTCCATGGTGATGTATTTTTGTTGTTCCTTCGTGGAACACACCACATGTCATTCGCGGAACAAAACTGGAATTTTGGGCATGCACCCCCCCCCCCCCCCCGCGCGCCTGAACGACAAACACAACGAATGAATACACATAATCAGGGAGCGCGGTAAGCAATCCTATCGATCGAGAGACTCTCGAATGGAAGGAAGCAAGAAGACTCGAGAGCTGACAAAGCCCACCCATACCTGTACGACTTGATGCAAAGAGTAGGAGCGTCTCAGCGAACGCGGCAGGTCGATGTCCTCCAAATGACCCTTCTCCATCTCCACCAGAACGTGATGAAGCTTGGGGTTCCACCTACGTTCAAGTTCGGAGATGAGATGATAACAGCAACAACAACAAAACGGCGGCATATGAATTTAGTTTTCTTTCGTTTCGGCACCAAGTAACTCCGTGGCATTTTCCGTGATAGTTTCACATGCGATACGATACAGTAGTACGCTCGTTCATTTCCATCTGACTCCCGGCAGAAAACCGGTAACTAGCAACGGATTTAACATTGCCACACCACGTAGTTCTACTACAATTGCACAGCAAGTCCACGCCTCATGAAACTATCGCCAAAAAAGAAGAAAAAAAAAAAAATGCCCCTCGATCTGAACCTATCTCTCTCTTACCATCTGTGGTACCCCTTCCACGCCACGTCCCGCATCAGCACGCCGATAACACCGAACATCGTCACCGCCCAGTAGTTCGGGTCCTTAAATAGTGCGGTTTGCACCTGTCGCGTCGCACATCGTCCAAAACCAAGAGCCAGCCGGACGGACAACAACGTTAGTTGGTGTTGGCGATGGTGTTGATGGTGCTGTTGTCGCTGTGGCTGTTGGTTGCTGCCGGCATGATTGCCGTTACGATTATCGATTATCACGTACGTCTCGACGCCCAATTGAAGACCTACCTCCATACGTCCGTGAACTACCGCTGTGTTTCGAGGTCACCGACTAAGGCTTACGGACAGACTGAAGGCTAGTAGTTCGACTCACCTAGAAAGTCGACTATACGAGAAACAAAAAAAAGAATAAATTTGCCCAGCCACTTTTTCCCGTCCTGCTTGGTGAAAAACAGGGCTTGGTATGGTCGTCGGACAAGGGTGTGAGTGTACCCCAACTCACCCCAAACCACTCCCAATCGATCGTGGAGACGTAAACGCTGATGTTGAGGAGCCAGGACATAATGAACAGCAGCGCTGTCGATACCGCCAGCAGCGCGGCTTCCACCCAGTGCCATCGCTGTTGTTGTCGCGTGGGGGGCAGGGCAAGGAGAAGCACGCGCGCGCGCGGGGGGGGGGGGGGGGGGGCCAGG